TATATATATATATATAGAGATAGATGAAAATGTTGAACAATTTGGTTTCCTTCCTTTCCTGATTAACGAACACCTGGATTTAATTTAAAGATTTCAAGAAGTGTGAGAGTTATTGGTTTGGATTGTTCAAGTTTGAGAAATTAATAAAGCAAAATATAAAAACCCAATTTCATTTGGTTCCATCGGATCATATTAAATCTATTGAAAGTGTTCAAAGAATATAATAAATGTAATTAGCTTCATTAAATGTTAAGACATTCTAAATGTTATGTGTATGTTACAAAGAAAGAAATTTTCATTTTGGTGGTTAGAACTTAGAAGTACATGAATCTGCCTTCACTTATTTAAGATAAATTTGATTAAACAATTGGTCCTTTTAAAAATTTCATTTTGTTTTATTTAACGTATCTAAATATTAATGTAATGATGGCTTTTTTGTGTTTGGGGTTTTAGTTTAACTATTTTCTTTTTATATTGTTAGGTTATATTTTATGTTTTTAATTTAGAGAACTGGTTTTGTTCTTTGATTCGGTTTTGATTAAGAGAAAAATATTTTTATACAAACTTTTTTTGTTTTATTTCGATATTTTTATTATTTTAAAATTTGTTTTGAATTGTATTAGTTTAATTTTAATAGAATAATTGAAACCTATACGTCGACATCTCGTATGTTAAAATCTATACAATGCTAAAGAAATATTGAAAATGCTCATTAAAACAGGAAAATGCGACAAGATATAATTTAAGAATCTCATCGAAAATATAAAGCTATTATAAATTTATTTATTATAATATAAATATTTTTTTTAAGTAAAAAAAACTGGAAATGAAAATGTGGGAAACCCTAGGGAAGTCTGCCTGTAATTATTCCAGCAACCATCCAACCACGCGTGAGACTGTTGTTTGACACAAACATACATGACCATCTATCGCCTGCAGATTTCTTTATTTTTTTGTCCTTTTTCTTTTTTTTTTTATATAATTTTTGTTTTTAATATTTCATAAACATAAAGTATTTCTCAGAAAATAATAAATATTTATAAAAGTGAAGATCAGATATCTGAACACAATCTTGTGAATAAATACAAACTCAACATTTAGATAGTTAAGATGGAAAACTAATCTATAAAATATGTGAATTATCATAAATTTGATAAAAAAAATATATAAATTTTGAAAATCTTTAATTTTCTTTCGATAATTTTTTTTAAAATTATATATATTTATTTGGAAATTTTAAACTTCATATATTTTATTTATATCATATTTTTATAATACTTTTTTTTTGGGTTTTCACTTCAAATAAACTTTGTCAAAGATAGTTCTAACTGAAATGTGTATTATAGCTTTAAAATTCATATATGATATGTTTAGGTGCAAAAACTAAAATAATGTCTCTTTTCATGTCTTATTTCTTCAGTGTTAATTTTTTTTACCAAAATGAATTTAATCTCTGCCATGTGTCATGAATGACAACTTATAATCATATGTATGATTAAGATCTTTAACAATGTGTGGTCTGCTTTTGCCACGTTCACTATGATTCTACATCTGGAAATATGCTACACAAAATCACAATATAATCATTCCCTTAGTTTTTTTTTTTTTATTTCCAATTGTCAAGTCATATAAAGAGGTGTAAATACAAAGGACATATATACATACAGATACAAATCAAGGTTATGAACAAGTGGGTTGATGGAGAATATTGGTGAAAGAAAATATAAAAAATTGATGGGATGGATTTTTGCTTTGGGGATCACTTTCTTTCTCCGTAAATATAATAATAATAATAATAATAATAATAATAAAATCTAGCAAAAACAATTTATTGTAAATCAGAAGGCATGGACCACCGTATAGCCTACCATCCTCTCTTCTCATTGGCCTTTAGGGAATAATAATGTTTGTAACCTTTTTCTAAAATTTAATTTTTTATCAGTCAAAGCAGGTCAAAAGAGAATTTCAACAACCGAGGGCCACGCTCCCACTTATTCAATTTCACTTTACTTCATTATTCTTTTTTATTTCTCTAAAACAATAATTAAAAGCCAAAAATGGGTCAATGTGATGTGATATATTTTTTATTTATTAAGACATATATTTTGTCTTAGCATTTGGTTTGGTTCTTTTGCTTTATGAGTTCGTGCGTGTGTTAACTTCATCAAACGTAGCAAAATTTCCCATAGCTCTTGTTGCAGGTTATCTAATTTCTGGTAACCAAATCATTGATGCAGAAGCAAATAAAAGATTGTGAATCGAATTATAAATTCGGTGCTTTATTTAATGGTAGATAACGTGGTATATGTAAAAAGTAACTATGAATTCCTACTTACATTAATTACGTTGCATGAAAATTCGAGGATCATATATAACCATACATACATCTCACGGTTGCGGTAAGAGAATGAGCCGAGAACTTCCTTACATCTGATTTTGAATACATTTTCTTTGCTTTTTGTGTGGAGGGATAGCGGAGGCAGGAGGGTTTTTGTCCTCTCTAGCTCAGCCGTTACATGTATGTATATCGTTCTTGAATTAGGGTTTCAGTCTCTTATATATGGGGTTGTTTCTTTTGTTTGTGGTTTCAGTAACGGGATCTGGGTGCGTGGATCATTCGGGCCCTAGAAGAGATTTGGATGCATGGGATCACACACTTAGTTTTTCGTAACTTTGTTAGGCTCGATCCTGCGTTGTCGAATCCGGAACCTTCAATGTCCGATTCTTGAATTCTCAAAAAGAGTATCGAAAACGCCTAGATAGACTGTAATTCCCTCGGAACGGACGAGCAGTATATCATCTAGTATGCACACTTTGTGATGATCAAACTAAGCCAAATTGATGCTTTCCATGAGGTATATATATAAATGTTTATTGTACAGTTTTTGCAGCCGAGGAAAAAAGAGAACAAAGGGGGGGGGGGGGGGTTCAGCAATTGAGGTCTCTTCAATTGCCAGTGACAGTTTCATCAAAACGTAAGCCCGCTCTTCGCAATCAGATCGAGGAAACTGACCAGATTTCTCATGCTGGGCCTCTCGCTAGGGTTTTCCCTCGCAGCAAGCTCAGCCAGATCAGCCAGTTTGAGCAATGGCTCCACGTTTCTGGGCAGAGCAGCGTTCTTGTCGATAATGGCAGCCGCCTTTCCTTTCCTGATCAAAGGGATTGCCCATTCTGCGATCCCCGGAGGGTTAGATTCACGGTCGTAAGCTTTCCGGCCGCTCAGTATCTCCAGGAGAACGACCCCAAAGTCGTAAACATCATCCTCTGTATCACCGTCGGTTGAATCCTTTTCGTTTGAGCTTAACAACCCGAAATCTGCAATCCTAGCACACATTTCAGAGTCCAAGAGGATGTTCGATGTTTTCACGTCTCGGTGAACTACCGGAGGATCTACCTCGTTGTGTAGGTACTCGAGGCCCTTTGCAGCCTGCAATGCAATCTTCAGTCTCATGCTCCAATCCAACGGTGAGAGATCTCCATGGAGATGATCATGAAGAGTACCGTGTGGCATGTACTCATAGATCAGAAGCCGTTCCCCCATTTCCGAACAGTAACCCAACAAGTTCACGATGTTGTTGTGTCTGATTTTGCAGAGAACTTCGAGCTCTGCCTCGAAATCCCGGTTGTTGGAGTGAATTATGGTTGCAGCATTAGCCCTTTTCACTGCAACTTGTCTTCCGTCCGAGAGAACAGCTTTGTAGACAAAACCAAAGCTGCCTCTTCCAAGTTCGTTGAACTCTTTGAACCCGTGAGTGGCATCTTTCAGTTCTGAGAGACGGAAGATTTTGGTCTCCCCGAGAGAAACGGCCATAGGAATAGCTAATTGAGGGATAGGGTCAGGCTCAGCTTCAACCACGGGCTTACTGACACAGAAGCAGCAAGTCATTTTACTCCTCTCTTCATCTCTTTTACCCTTGGTCATCTTCGGAACGAGAGACAAACCGATCAAGAACATGACAAACCCTAAGACAGAACAGCCGATGATAATCACCAGTTTCCGCATCTCTTTCCGTTCATGCTCCCGGGATTTAGCCCTCGAGGGGTGAGGAAGCTTACATATGTTCCAACAAGAACTGTTCTGGCAAAGGGAACAAGGTGTACAAACTCTGTCTGAATCCGAACTACATGTGCTGGAAGGGAAATAGCCTTCCAAGCAATCTGTCCCACAAGGTAAGCAAATCTTGAGGTCATGAAAAGAACACAAACTCGTGAGTTCGGGTTCCTTCAAGATGCTCGCATTGAAAGCAAACCAGCCATCGCTGCACGAATGAGGCGAGCATAACCCGGGACTGCATAACTCGAGAGGAGGACTGTACTCTGGTCTGGAATAATCATGGATGCCCCAGCAGTCGAGAACCAAATCCAGTTCTCGAACCCCACAAGTCGTGTCATCGGACGAGGAAATCGCTACAAACCCGGAACTGTTTGGAACAGAGGAGGAATTCAGGTTTCTTCCCCAACAATCAACTCCATGATCATCCTCTCGGATGCCACAATAGTGACCAGAACCTGCAGATACAGTGATAAACCGAGGCCGTTCCGGCAATACCCCAAACTCAGTCTCGTCTCCGAAGCATTGTAGCTGACCTGATTCCTTGGAAACTCCACAGATAGAACTCTTCCCAGAAGCTAAAATATCGAGTTCATCGATCGATTTGTTCGAGACCCCCAAAAGATTAGATCTTGGTCCCCAGCAAACAAAATCGTCATCCTTAGTCACACCACAACTAAAACCATCTCCAGAAACAATCCTCTTAAATATGAGACTATCTATATAAGGATCACGAAACGAAGAATTCCAAAGAACTCCGGAAGTAAAATTCTTATCACCAACTCTTCCGACATACTCCCAGCAATGAACAGGACCAGAATCGGGACCTGAATAATACAACCCACTAATAGCGCAAACATGATTTCGACCAGCAGCAATCCGTGAATAAGAATTAAACTGAAAAGCTCCAGGAACAAGATTCACAAAAGGGTTAATCAGGTTCCAACAAAACGCCTGAGAACTGTTCGACGTAATGCCGCAGAGAAACCCTTCTCCGCCAGAGAGTGAAGCCATCGCCGGAACATAATCGGAGACGATTCTGGTCCCCGAAGACTGGTTTACGGATCCGTTGTTGTTCCCTCTGTCCCAGCAAATCACCTCTTGCTTCCCGCCGGCGTCAATGGCGCAGAAGAACCCGTTCTCGCCGAATGCGGCGGCGATGGTTCCCGTGGAACCGTACCCAGAAACAGAGACGATGATAACAGAGGAAGTGACGAGGAAGATGATGAATTTGGGTGGCATTTTCTTGGGGAGTGATGGACTTTTTGATGGGTTGGGTTTTGTCGTTTGCTGGAGGGCGATGGAAGCTGAGGAAGGATCGATCTGAGAGGTACAACAATGGTGGACATTTTAATGAACGCGGATGTTCTTGATTTTTTTTTTTTTTTAATAATAATGGAAGTGAGCTGTTGGTGTCTCTGCGAAGGTTCTTCATCAGACAGTGAGGAAGTTAAAAAACGGTCAAACCTTTTGCCCAAAAAAAACAGAGAGAAGGAACCCCGGGAAAAAAAACCTTACAAATTTCATATGAGCCCCTAATATCTCTTACAAATTCAGAAATCACCCATACCTTTGAATGAATTAAAGGAAACCCAATATACTCACCTGAATTTTCTCAATCGGATTTTAGATACGTCAAAGGTTTGAAACTTGAGGTCAAAGTGGAGAAATCTCGGTCAGAAACGAAGAATATAGAAACTATGGCGTCTCCCGTCATCTAAGATCAACATTTCTTTTTAATATATTTTTTTTGGTAAATTTTTTTAATATATTATTTTCCATTCAAATAAAATTGTTTTACTACTTTTTATATATAGTTATGTCGTGGAAATAATGTAAAGAGAGTTATTCCTAGAGATCATTCTGTTATAAAGAATATTCACTTTTTGGCCCTTGTGTTTTTTTTATTTATCGAAATTCACATTTTTACATGGGAAACCAAAAAAAAAAAAAAAAAAAAAAAAAAAAAACTAACGATGGACATTTGTCGGGGTTTGCCCACTAATGACTAATTTGTGGACTTTTTTGTAAAATTTATAAAGATGGGAGTTGGCTTATGAAGTGAATAGAAATATAAGGGTTTGAAATGCGATTTTCCTTCTTTAAAACGAAACGGTACGGACACTTACCTCGAGTTTCTACGTACATGTATTGTCCCCTGTTGTAGTTAGAGACTTGTAGATTCAGTTTCTGTAACGGATCATTTAATGAAATGATATGTGTGTATATATATATATAATCATTTTATGTATTGGTTATCAGGAAAAATCCGGAACATGTCGAACTGTCTACGGGTATTATCAACTACCAACATGTTGCCCGGATACGGTGGTCCAGTGGTGTGGAAATACAAAGTGTTCACCCACGCTATGGATTCGAACCCCAACTATGCAATCACCAATATAAAAAAAAAAAAACTACCAACATGTTGATCATTCACCTATCATAAATTTAGAATATTCTGAATGTATGTTTTAACACCTGAAATTAATAAAAAACATGGAAATTGTTATAATTATATATGTTTATAAATAAGTTCACATAATCAGATACAAATTTATTGGCATTATTCTAAGCATAATAAGTACGTTCTTATTTGCTTTTTTTAATGGATATCACTTCTTCAATAAATTACAATAGGAGTGTTACAATCTATACTCATGTAATCCTACTAAATATAACTCATTCTAAATCACGATCTATACAAGTGAATCTCTTATAAAAATTAAAATCCCCCTGAATCCTATTACAAACTATATTATATTTGAGTATAAATACTTTAAATAGAGGAATATAAATGAATTTCCATGAAAACAAAACGGGGACGTACTTGTGTATATAATGTTTTCAAACATCTTTATGATGATAAACATTAAACGATTGTATTAGATTTGTCTAATGTCATAATGATGATGATGATGATGATGATGATGATGATGACGATGATATTATAAAAAAAATGATGATGATGGTGATGATGATGATAATCAATTCCGAATTCCATGACTGAGAGATAACCAAAATGGAAATCAGATCAAAGAACACGATATGATAGTGTGTCTAATAGTTGACTTTGCGTTTGCATTATGGAGACAAAGCACATGCCTTCATCCACGTGATTTTGGATTTAATTAAAACATAAACATGGCCGTTAATTACTTTCTAATCGAAGAATAACCATCGTGATATCTTAATATAATGTCCTTCTTTCCATTTTACATTGCACTTATATTTATTTTATATTTGGGATTGCAAGTTGGTGAGAAAATATATACTCAATATATGTAAAAAGAAAAAAGAAAAAACTCACGGATACTCGTGGAAAATTATCTAGCTTTGACTAAGTAAAACGCATAATTAAAAATGATCATTCACGTTAGATCATTAAACCAACTTCCATATAAAAACTAATTAGGTTTGATAATTTATATGACATTAATTAAATTAAATTAGAAAATAAAAAATAATCGAAAAAATATTTGTTTTAAAATATTTTTATTTAATAAGAGTCGAATATGAACATTTATACTGCAAAAAAAAACATAAACGTTTATACGTTTTAAAAATTCGAAAAAATAAAGTTGAAATCCGAAAATGTTAAACTATCACTTAACAGCTTACGACGGGATTAAAAGATTTTTTTTTCATATATCAGAAAATATTAAAATGCCACCACATTCACATATGAAAAGATATTCGTGCAGTCTTATTATATCTAAATAATTCAAGTAATTTGTCTAAATTAATTCAAAAGAAAATAAATAAAACGCGCGGAATAAATTAAATTAAGGAAAATAATTGGACAAGAAAATCGCGGAGGATCAGAGATTTTAGGGGAAAGGCTGAGCAAGAACAGTCTGTATATGTAAGGGTGAGAGAGAACATTGGCTTATGTTAGATGTATGCCCAAATATTTTGTTTAATATAATTTGTCTTTTACGCTAACAATTGTTATATATCACCATGTTGCCCATTTTTTTAGTTTTTCCACTCAAAATTATAGTGCTATAATAATTCCATATTGAGTATACATATATATATATATATATGTGTGTGTGTGTATTATTTTGAGAATATGCAACATGAACTGTCGTATAAGATCTTTTGGTCGTATTATACGATAATACCATTAACTTGTCATTTAATGTTTAAGGTAACTTGATAGTAATATATATGTATAATACTGTTATGTCTAATATGTCAAAGTTTAAATTCTAAATGGAAACCTTTTTGAGTTTTCAAAATTTATTAACTAAACCATGTTTTTTTCTTTTTATACTCTTGAACAACCAATATGTTTGTCCACAATTTGATTTGGTTTTGGTTATCTCGGTTTTGAAGAAATTATACCTATCTAACACCAAAAATATGATAGGTTCGATCCGGTTCAAATCCTGTTTAAGTTTAACTAGTTAAGTGAACAAAATGCGAGATTTTGAGATTAAGAGGAACTGATGAAATCTGATGCTCAGAAAGAATCTAGATCGAAGAAGACAACA